TGCCTTTTTCATACTTTTACCACGTGTCTTGAGGTTCCGCAGCGTGTACAGAGAGAAGACCTGTCAATGGGGTTGCGACATTTATGCGCCATATGCCCCACTTCGAAACACCTAAAGCAGCGAGCGATAGGTGAATATTCTCGGAGGCGACAAATAGACCACCCGTCTTTACTTCACCTTGTTTAAGTACGGTCTTGGCATCCTCGGCACGTAGACATATAAGCGCTATTTGTGTGCCGCTTCTGGGTTTTCGCATACTTTTAACATTTTCTTTCTTTAGATTTTGAATCCCACACTCCTTTTGTAATGCGTCGCAGATTTGCACATAATGATGCTTTTGGCTGTATTACCGCCATCTAACTAATCACTTGTCTGTTTGGTTTTTTAATTCTAATAGCATATCTCCTTTGAGGGTTGTCCTGATGTACCTTACGTTTGAGCCCAATTCTTCAAGGCCACTATCACATTTAATTTTTCTTAGGATATCCGCATTCGACGCTCCCTCTTTTTGTTTTGAATAATAGCGTCAGGTTTCGATCTGATTCTGTTTTCGATCGGCTTCCTTTTTCAACTACGTCCATCCATTTCTCGCCTGCGGGCTTATCTCCTGAGCTGTGTTTCTGCATTACTTTTGTAACCTCACGCTTTATCATCTGCGTTTTTAGGCTTTTTTGTTGGATGTAAATAGCATGATATTTGACGTAGTCTTTTTGGTGTGTTTCTATCTTTATGAATAGGGGATACTTGCGACGCTTTCCCTACCATAACTCTTTTCGCTGGATTCTCTGATCTTTCAGTCTTGTTATATAGGCATGATATACCGCTTACAAGGTCGCGCATAGCTTGATTTATGTGTCTCTGACCAGACAGTATACTTTCAAGCTCCTTGATTTTCCCAGTTTGCTGAAAATATTTTGAGTTTCACTAATCTTATCCTGCCCGATATTACCGCCATCGCTCGTTTGGGCGGCATTTCCACAAATTTCTGTTGGTCCAGCAGCGGTGGATTTCTCATTTTATCCTGTGGAGGCCGTCGTGTGGGGTGAAATTCCTCGAGTGGTCACAGTTGTGGTGTGTTGCATTAGTGTGTGCCAGTTTTTCACGTGTAGAGTGGTGTACTTGGATGAGGGAGTCTAAATTCATTTAAGCTAGTGGTATATCCATATTCTGTGTGTATAAAACGGCTTTTGTTTTAAGAACATATTTTCTTTGATTTTTGATGTGCATGTAAGTGTTTTAAGGCAAGCAACTTAATTTTGCGGGTGTATGACGTTGTAGTGGCCTTTCGTACTTATTGTACTTGCGGTTGTTTCTTTTATAATTTTATTATTTGTATTGTTTGTTTAAAATTTCTTTACCATCGGCTTATTAAGGTTAGCGACTCCACGCCTGGCTCAGATATGGCCAGAATGGCTACTCCTTTGAGAAAATGCCCTGATGTTAGGACAGAGAAATTAGAGGGGACTTGCGAGAGTACAGTGATTGGCCGTGAATTGAGAACGGCTTCTTTTCGAGTTAGTAATGTGGTAAATTCGATATATTTATATTTGCATTATCCATCTACTTTCGACTTTCTAGAACAACTATGCTGCGAACGATATTATGTATAGACGTGGGCGATTGTGGCCAAGAATCGGGAGATTCGGATATCGTTAGATTGTTTGAGAATTGTCACCAAAATTTTCGTTTGTATCATAATTGGCGAAAGCCATCCTGCGGGGTCGAAATTATTATTGCGGATAATGCAGATATTGACTCAGCAGGATATGAAAACTGGTCAGATATCGAACTCCATTGGCTTCCCTGTATTTTTATGTTGTACTGCTCTTTTCAAATTGAAGATAATTAATTTACAACAAATTTTCTTTTGGAATATTTAGTACTATATTTGGATGATTTGGTTGAATTATATATATTTGTGTTTTTAGAAGAAGCTCTGATTTGGTTTTTTGCGAGTGTTGGAAAATTGTGGCTTTGGTGGTAGTCGTACGACGTGCTGACCATTATTTGATCGAGTAGTTGTGGCTTTGTAGAAGTCTTCACAATACTGATCTTGTATGAGGGCGCGTTTTTCAAACTCCCGATATTTCCTTAATTGTGAATTAATTTATTCGTTTGACATTTCCTCAACTTGAGTTGTCATGGTGGTAACTGGTTACGTAACTAGTCCACTTAGAATCCAACCGAATATAGTATTTTGGGCTAGAAGAGTCGTTGAAATTTTTTCAACACCTTGAAGTATTATTTGCGGTATAAGATCGCTGCCTACTATTATATCTATTTGATCGGGGGTATTGCAGTTGGTGTCTGCTAGCTTCAGGTGTACCTTTTGCCAATGCTTGCTATTTGTGTGATAGCTTGGTAGCATATTTGTAAGTTGCGGTAAGACTATAGCTTCTGCTTGAATGTGCTTATCCGCTTGGGGGGAAATTACTGCAATGGGGCAAATTGGGCTCGATGGAGACGACTGCTGTGGGTAGTAGTATTTTCGCTGTGTAGCGTTTGAGCGACTTGTGCCTTTGAGCAACATGGTGTCTTTGTACAATTTTGTGGATTTTGGTTTTTTGGAGTTGTTGTTACAACTAAATCTATGGTTCTTTTCGTATAAGCACTTCTTTGTGGTGAAATAGGAGATTTGCTATAATGCAGCTTTGAGTGGTGTCATTTGTGACAATATAAGCAATTGAATTTGCTTTTGCAATTTTTATATGTATGCGCATGTGACGATCAATTTGTACAAATTCTTTTTGATCTGACAAAATTATGTCGTTCGATAATATTAAATTTTTTGAATTTCTCGCAAGATTTCAGCTTATGCCCCCCTGTACATAGTTCGCATGGCGTTTGCTTGTACTCTTCGGGTGTGAACGTTTGATTTTTGAAGAAGCTTCTATTTAAATTGTTGTTGATACTGGCTTGTGGTCTGTGGAAACTTTTATTTATGTCGTGTTGAACGCTTTTCATTCTGACAACTTTTTTGTCTACCCTTTCTGCGATTTCGTATTAGGTAGTTAGAAAATCTTTCATTTGATGCCACGTGGGGCATTTTCTTCGTGATGAAAGCGATTGCTTCCATGGAAGTAATGATTTTTCTGGTAATGCTGCGGTGCATATGTTTACCAGTATACGGTCCCAGCTGTCTGTGGGAATATTTTGTGTCGATAAAAACGACAAACAGTTTAAAACAGTGGATTGTAGTCTTATAAATTCTTCACTTGTTTCTTTTTGAATCTTAGGCAAGTTTATAAGTGTCGTTACTTGTTTATCGACTAAAATTCTTTTATTTTCATATCTTGCTTTTAGAGCTTCCCAAGCCAAATTGAAATTGTCATTTGGTGCGAACTGTTTTACTATTGCGCTTGCTTGACCTTTTGTTTTGTAAAGGAGGTGATACAATTTTTGCACTTTTGATCAATTGGGCTGCCTTGGTCCAGTTGTTGGCAGTAGAGGGCCTAATTGAGCGTTTGGCCATAGGGGTGCAGCTCGTAGTAGATGATTCCTTGCCAATCCCACCAAACACACAGCAAAACCTTCCTGGCCGTTAATCCGGTCTTGGCCAACGCCAGTCACAATCCGCTTCAGAATCGGGTCGATTTTGTGGCGATTCAGTAGCGATTTGCAGATGGAAATTCGGTCCATCATGTTTTTTTGCGTTAGTTCGTGTGGCACCCAAACAGCGAGCTTCTTTTTGAATCCAAGGTTATGCAAATGGTTCCAAACGGTTTTCTCTCTTATCTTTAGTTCCTCAGCAACTAAATAAGTGCTCACGTGACGGTTTGTTTCCACTATTTCCATGATTTTATCGCAATTTTCGACGACAGGCCTCCCGACATCCCGGTGCATCTTTGACATCGAAATTACCGGAACGGAACCTAGCAAACCACTTTTGTGCTAGACGTTCGTTTACAATATGACGATGTCGCGTTTTTTAAAATATGCAAAATTAAATGTATTTTTTCCGTAAGAACCTTCTACAGAGTATTAGAAAACTACAAAAACAAAACAGCCAAATCGGTCTGGCCGTTCTCAAGTTATGGCGTGACAACGGGAAACGGGTTTCATTTTTATATATATAGATATATACAAGTATGTATACAGTCTACCATCCTATAATGCGGTACTCTCAGAACGCGGTAAGCACTCACCGCGTTGACTGTATATGTTTAGTAAAAATATAACGATATATATATTTGTAATATGTAAGCGTTAATTCGATATATATATATGTTTGTTTGTTGTGTTTTTATTTTTTTCTTTGTTTGTTTTAGGTTTGATATTTTGCCTTGGCTTATTGCTTTATTAAGCAAAAGGGGTATTGCTGGATTAATGTGCAAGTATATACTGGAATTGGTTTTTTGGTTCTTGATGTTGTGTTTGAATACACGAAGGTAAGCTATTAATTGGGCAATAGGTTAAGGTTAATTTTTTTTTGTTTTTAAATATATAAGTATGTATTTGGAAATATACGTTATACCAGACTGTGTTCAGGTTTTCCAGCAAAATAAACTCGAAACTGTGACAGTTTGGTAACCGTTTTTTATGCTGTTAAAACGGATTTTCTGTTACAGGTTTTATATTATAATATGTAAATGAAAATTTTAAATAAAACCCGTGCACAAAACAAAACCAATAAAGTCTCCAAGGGTTTCATCAAAGATATTGAAAGAATAAATTAACATCTTAGTGAATTTAATATCCCATTTCCAGATAAACCTGCAATGATCTCTGGTAACTGTGAAGTAGATAAAGTAGCCAGACCAGAGACCACCGTACAATTAAACTCCAGAAAAGGGGGAATTTATATCCGATAGATTTTTTAGATATTTAATCGACAAATATGGTATGTTATAAATTAAGCTGAGTCTCGGTGGAGGCAGTCCCTGACTTACTAAGCAGGCAAACGTGGCATGAATGTAATATGAACCGCACATGCCGACTATTAAAACTCAAAAGGAATGACATAAGAAATCTAGTAGGAATGCTAACAGGTCACTGTCTAATAGCCGGACATGTCAGCAGACAAGAAAAACCACGAAATGACTGTTGTAGAAGCTGTAAGGAGGTAGAAGAAAAAGAGACTATAAGATATCTTTTATGCGAATGTAAAGCTTTGTAAGGGTTCCTTAACGACGTTACGGAGGTTGCACATATAAAACTTTTTGTACCGATTCACTTCATCAAAAGCGCGGGGTGGGTCAGAGAGGACATATGTTAATAGGGTGAAGGAACTTTAGTCCCGGTGGTTTCACAATGAACCTCCTAAAAGGCTAGATGCGTCATCAGACATTCACTCTACCTACCTTACCTATCATTACAATTTAGTGCCCCAGTAAGTGATAACTGAAAGTGCCGTTAAGTCAAAAAGGTATCGCAGCATTAGGTCTGAAAGAAAATTTAGGGCTAAGCTTACCTTACCGAATATTTGGGAAACCATAAAACCATTTTAGAACAGTACCGTGTTACAATGATATAAGATTCAAGTCATAGAAGTCTCACATCTTGTAGTGATGTGAAATTACTTTGGGGACCAAATTAAAATTTAATCCTATAGTATTTCGAACTTCCTAACCGCTCCTTGGAATGTCCCTTATTACAGACGACTAATTGGAAGGATTTTTTCAGTCGAAGACCTGACTTCGCGGTCAGTTGCTTGCAGAACAAGTCTGTTGGTAGTAAATGTAAAATGATGTTATGTGCATAACTTGGCCTATGTTCACCACCGATGCATATACTAGCTGACCTCTTCATGCTTTGTATACGCCTTACCGCTTATTTCTTTTCCATGATGGTGGCCAATATACCGTATGTCATATCCGGCCTTACATCTGCTGTGTAGAGCCAATAAGTTACACGGAGCGTTGGTCCCCATTTGAGCCAGACCATCCTTTTACAGGTGTAAAGTGCTGTATCTGCTGTTTTTACGCTAGTGCCTAAGTTTGGTTTCCATGAAAGCTTCCTATCTTAAATTAGCCCACGTCGCCATCCTTATCTCCTATTGTTAGCCTGGTATCATTTATTAATGGCGGCATAACTTCTGGCCTTCTGCGATTCTTAGTAAACGTTACTAGCTCTATCTTACAAGCTTTAGTCCGCACGATACTGCCCATCGATTTATGTCATTTTATAATGTTTGCGTGAGGTTATCGAAGGTATTTGGGAATTTACATCTAACCGAAGTGGCTTGAGCATCTATTCAATCAAGGTTCAGAAGTGTCCAAACATTTAAGCACGCCCATTATGGCCTTAAGCTGGCTGTTATTGGTAGCAGCTTGAATGGCTAGGAAAGCCACGAGGGTGTAATCTTTTATCTTCAGAGATTTTTCAATTTGTGTTACCACTGAACTTAGTGCTGTTTCTGTGTATTTTTTTTTAGAATACGCATGCTGCGAAATATTCAGTTTTTCTGGGTTTAATTTGTCTCTTATGTTTCTATTAGTCTTTCCAACGTTTTTAAGAGGAAGGAGGAAAGACTAATTGGTGTGAAATCCTTTGGACTTGTATGTGAGCTTTTGCCCGCCATTGGTATATATATCACTTTAACTTTCCTCCATAACGAGATAATATATTATACATAGTTTAATAGCAGTGCTCCTTTAAAAATTGTTACTAACCAGACTTTTATGTAGTTCTGGGACTGCTGTAGTTGAGCCGGTAATAAACCGTCAGGTCCCGACGATTTGAAGATCAAACTGCTTATCGTCCAATATACATTGCTTTGTAATGTAATGATACTTGTCTGGTGGGACTTTGAATTCGCACTAATGTTATCCTAAAATTTGAATTTCAAGTTATGAATATACTTGTAATATATGTTTGGGCCACCATTCTGTTTGGTATAGCACTGAAAAGTGATTTAATAATAAAATAATAAAAGCGGTTTGTTTATGTATAAAATGTATGTGCAGATATATGTACTCGTATATGTATTTGTATTTCATTTATTCACACTTTGCATTTGAATATTGTACAAATGATGACTTTGTTTATGAATTAGACATTTTAATAAAAACTACTTACTGATATTAATCTATAGTGCACTTTAAAGAAAAATTGGGATTTAGCTATCAAATATATTTATATTTTAAAAGCTAACAATAATTTTTAATTGCACAATAAAGATGTGCAAAGGTAAGTATGTAAGTACAATATACAAAGTCAGCTTTAAGTGAAGCAAGCTTACATCGATGGACCGTACAATGTGATGTCTACTGGCCAAGCTTAGCTGGACTGAGTAATAGCTCCGGTTCAAATATACTTAATGGATTATTTTGTTGCGTAACATATTTATTATCATGCGATATGATTGCGTTTGTAGAAGTACTGTCAAGTAATTGATCTGGTCTTGTCCAAGTTTTTTGTATTACTGTAACCTGTGAGGGTGATAAAGCAGACGGGTCATCTGATTCACTATCTGATGATGATAACAGAGGAGAAGGAAATATAAAACTAGCTTTCGAAAAACCCGATGTGGATAAATGCAAATTTTTGGGCTCGGGTTGATTCACTACTGGCTTCGCAATAGTTGTGGTATTATCTTCAATTTGTCCTGGAAGAAAAACCGACTGTGCCCTTGAGCACATATTTGTAGTTATAGGAGTATTGGAAACAGATGAATTATTATTTGAAACTAATGCACATGGTGAGATAATTGTGGAAACGTTTGACTCAGTGTTCCTGCCTGTTTCGATATTAGAATGTATATTGTCCTGTTTGAGTTTCTGTTCAGACCCCATTGATGCAGACATTAGTGTTGTTGTAGCCGATGTAGATGTGTTATGTACTCCTACTGTACTAGCATTATCCGTAAATCCAGAATAATTGTATGTGTTATTCGAAGTAGAAGAGCTAGTGCCATGTATTAGAGCTGGTGTTAATTCCCTAGCTGCTGTTGTTGGTTTGATCGACAAAGAAGTTTCCATTAGAAAGTTGGCATCCTTAGTATAATTTGGGGCAATGGGAGCGTGTGGTTGTACTTCCGATATCAATTTATTGTTCAGTGCGATACGTTGTCGTGACAATTTGCTAATGGAATTCGAGCTTATAGGTTCTGGAGTTAGCATTATTGAAAATGAAGGTAATTGCTGATCTAATGACACTTCTGGCATTTCAATTGAGTCTTGGCCTGGAGCTTTTTTTGAAGATACATTTGTAAATTGTTCAGTTGAGGTTGTGTTTGTATTGATGGCAGTTACATGTATCATACTTTCTGCACCGGAAATATTCCCGTCGTTGCCATTGACTTTGTTGTTTGAGTCGGTATTTTCTCTGCGGCTCAAGTGCTCTACTTCATCCCCTCTTAAAAACTCAGATTTTTTTGGAGTGGACTCTGTAAATATTATTTTTATTTATGTTATTATTTTGGCGGATATGAATCACAGCTTAGAATATCATAGGACCCTTCTAATATATTTTGCAAATATGATGAGACATATACTTGTATATTAACACTTACCTCTTAAATTTTCTGGCTCTTTGATTATTGGAACTATCCTATTTAATGATGCCTTCTGTTCATTCTGCATAAAAAGTGATGTAGTCGCGATTTGTCTCAGTGCTTCCATTCCTTCATTGATTATTTTATTACTGCCACGTTTGTGTGCAAGTGGGTATTTTGGCTAAATAGTAAAGAAGTAACATTATAGAGTTTTTGGAACTGATAAAATATTGCTCAAAATTAAGGAAATTTTTTTCTTTGAGGTGGTTCATACGCTAAACTAAATTTTTTATCCTCCATTCAATGTGTACGTAGATATACTCACTCTGAATACAACAAACTGTTCGCTAACCTCCTTACGTTCTTTGCTGAATTTTTACCTTCATTGATATAATTATTTATTGTTAAATTTTAATAAAGTTTGAAATTTGACTTAAATAATGTTTTTATAAAAAGTTTGAGTCAATATACAATACATACATAAACATTCTGACAAAAAAAGATGTCATGGTGCTGAGAATATACCTGGACTTTCTCTCATTACTTGAGTCTGTAAATGGTAGGGCTAGCCTGATGTGTCCCGCTTCTGACAATGCCCAGGACAAGGAAAAAAATAAAATCTTTTATAATTCTCTCTTTAATTTCCTACAACATGTATAGCGACCGCAAAGTTTACACAGTCTTCGAGAAACATAGTGATATGGACCAAAACCATTGCTTTGATATCGAATCGCAATACCTATGCAAAGCGAAATCACATTAAGTTAAATGATTATTATCTAGTACAGTATCCTGCGCTTAATTGACCTAAGGTCAATAGATTTTTTCGCTTATTTGAACCACCTCAACGGCCAAAAATATTATATATTGTATACAAATCACGTGTAAATTTTCTCGCATAATTGAATCCGGTTAATTGGTTTGCTCGCATAATTGGTTAAAAATATGTGTTATTGAAAAAAAAGAAACCTTTAATTTCCCCTGGCTAATGTCTTTGGTTAAGTTTGGTCAGTTCTCGAAGAAGAAAATACATATGTACTTCAAAGATATTTTTATTCAGAAAACAAGTTTTAATGTGAATTAGGGAATATGGAATCGCATGTTATTTCATGTAGATTGAAAAATATACAAAACAAAAATTTACAGACTTCTTCAACTAACATTTTAGAAATGTTAACAACGATCTCTTAATATTTGAATGAAAATGCTGCACATAAACAATAATATGAACTAGTTTGTTTCTTCTTTTGTTTTTTATTATGTACACTCTTGCAAATATTGCTAAAAGTATAACAGTTTTGTTCACCTAACGGTTATTTGTATCACCTAAAACTAATCAAGATAGATATGGAGTTATGTATATATAAATAACGGGACGAATTGTCCGTCTGTCTGTCTGTACAAGCTGTATTAACTTGAGTAAAAATTGAGATATCATAATGAAACTTGGTACACGTGTTCCTTGGCAAAAAATTATGGACGAGTTTGTAGGTGGCGTAATCGAACCATTTTTACCTCCACAAAACGCAATTAAACGAAAATCTATAAAGTGCCACAACTAAGCACTTAATTAAGATATAAAACTGTAATTTGGCACAGTGGATTACAGTAACAAGAGGCACATGTGGGCTAAACATTTTTAAGAAATGGGCATGGCTCCGTCTTATAATAGGTTTAATGGTAACTTCGCCCAAGCTAAATCCCTTTAATCAATAAATAAATATGTGAGATACATAAAATTTTACACCTAGAAGGATACAAGAGAACTTTATAGGAGCCGGGGTCAAAATTGGACGATGGGCGTGGCACCGCCCCCATTTCGATGAAAACCCATATCTTTGGACTGACCCAACCGATCTCGGCCAAATTTGGTATGTAATATTATTTTGACATTCCTATGTTTCAGTGCGAAAATTTGCGAAATAGGTCTACAACCACGCTTACTTCACATATAACACAATTTTAAATTCCATATGATTCTTTCACTTTCCAGTATGCAAATTAAGCACCAATGAATATATCTGGATAAAACTTTGCACGAATAATGTCTTTGAGTTGCGCCACTTTGTTACAAAAATTGTTCAAAGTGGACTAAAATTATTGAAGCCGCCAGATGCCGAATATGTAGAGCCCAGTTCCTACAGCGAACATTTTATCGAAAATATCATTCAATCGGTAAGATATACTCATATTATAAAAATTCGAAGATAATCTTTTTCTGACAATAATATGTCTGTATGTCAAAAATTGGTTGCATTGGGTCAAAAATTCCTTTATCCCCCTTATACCTAATAGAAAGATTTACGAACTACAGGCTGACTTTATATCGCATATATCGGCAAATAAGTAAGATACCTTAGCAAAATTTACTGCAGGTATAATATTGGATATACTATAGTTTAATGCCGAAAATATGTGAAATTGGTCCACAAATTATCCAAAGTATCATATACTACATATATTGATTTTCGTTGTTTTAACAAGCCTTAGGCTTCAAAATATACACTCACTTATTCATTAAGGCGCCTCACATATTGACAAACACATGTACGTGGACTATGGAAAATAAACCGGAAATACGCGAATATTTTAATTGCATCAATGAGGATTGGGTAGTACATTTTATTAGATTGCTACTGTGTAAAAACGAAACCAACTAATATTTTTATTTTGACCGCATGTGGAACCGTGGGTTCTGTGGATTTTAGTCAAATGAAAAAGTGTTTTAACGAGTTTCAACTTGGTCGCAGCTTTTGCTAGGTCAACTATATGGTTACTTAAAAATTTCAACGCGTTTTTCTCGAAACTGTGTTTTCAAAGCCGGTTGTCAAGATTTCTCGAAAATTACTCAACCGATCTTGGTGAAATTTTATAGAAGTGTTTGAGATACAATTTTTTTTTACAACTATTAAAAAAAAATGTCGAGCAAATTTGACCAAAATTTTCATTTTGTTGGAAAAAAACTGCCAAAATTCCAATTAAATTTTGTTTTCCTTCGGTCAAGCACTAGTTTATAGTCTTAACTAAAACACATATACTTTTTTTAATTTTATGGCGGAGTTTTAATTTATTTTTTTTATTAAAAATCTCAGAAATTATCTTTAAATATGTAACTTTAAGACAGAAAAAAGTTTGAATTAAATAAATAATTTTTTATACAGAAAAAAAATTATTGAAAAAAGGCATTTTTTTACCCGACGAAACCCATGTAATTAACTTACCTGTAATGTCGGTCGTCGGGCTATTGAAACACGTTTGCTTTCTCCACGGAGTAATGATGTAGTATAATCGGCATCAATTTTGTTGCAATCTTTCTTAAAAGTTTTTTTATTTGTTGAAATGCAGTGAGAAGGGCATATACAAAATAGTATTCGCAGCATACAACAAACGAATCCTAGTCCTAAAATATATATTTTTTACTTTTGAGCATACAAATGCATATTACTATATTTTTCATAATATTTAACTTAATAGTGATAAGAAAATTTTTCTTCTCTACAACTATCAATTTTAGTGACAAAATTTTTAGGCTATTGCGTAGTTTCTATCGCGGGCTTTGAGCGTGGGGACTGATTCTAGAAATTCCGTAACGGAAATAAACCCAACACGATCACAACGATGTTTGCATAACGCATGAAGAGCAGGGTGATTCCAAAATATTGTAATAATATTCAAGATACAATTTTTTAATGGCAAATAAAAATACGGAATTTAATAATAATAACCCATCGATTACCCTCCTCCCGCCCAACCGACGCGAGGGGCACAATCCACATACGTGCTGAATTAGCCGAGTCAGAAAAGGCAAGTGAAATTTTAAGTGTTGAAATCTAAAACTGCTCAGCTACAGAAACAAAGATTTCAACAGCTAAGATTTATAGTTCCGATTTAATAAATTGTTAAATTTTCATTTATTAAGAGAAAACAATAAAGTCTTTTAAATTTTGAAAAGTGAGTCAGATAAGTCAAATGTGCTAGAATGAGAATTAAAATCATGACATATACGGGGGAATGGTTCGTTTAGTTCGAAATTTGATCTTATAAAAATTTAAATATTTAATAAAAATAAATTATTCAATATTCGGAGTCATGATATTAGTAACATTATTATTATTTTGGTAAATAGCTTGAACAATACAATTGAAATTAGGTATTTCAATCGGATTATCAATGGTAATAAATTTCCAGTTACATTGGCTGGCGATTTCAACATCAACTTCGCTGATAAAATATCAGAGCGGTTGATAACTGTTCTTTCGGAAAAATTTTATTTGAAAATTAATAATGATCCACAAGAATCCACAACAAAATCTGGAACCACCACTGACATTGTATTTTCCAGATATTTATATTAGTCTCAAACTTATGATACTTATTTCAGTTACCATAAACCTATAGTTTCAATGATAAAAATATAACAATATTAACTTCTCATTTATTCAATAAAAGAAAAAAATTTAAATTGTTATCGAAGAAAAAAGTTGAATTAATATTAAAGAAAAGAAAATACTGCATAAAAAATAAATAAATACAAGTAATTATAATTGCATATGTTAATATCAAATGTTATGCAATAGCTTTACCGCGGCAGTCCTCGAGTACCACACGTCTTTTTTTGTTTCCTTATTCTAATATATCCTTAAAATGAGGGAATAAATCAGAAAAATCATAAAGTCTGAGCAGTCATTGAAGTGTTTCGATTTCTATCCTACTTTGACAAAGTGTTGGTCATAAGCAATGGAACATATGGGCCATGTTCATGTGGACCAAACATTACAAGACAAATTCATTACAGTGTCACCAGTTTAATTTCAACTTATATTTGGTATGCATCAATTTCAGTTTAATTTTATTAAAAATACCTTCAGTTTCAATAAGATCGTTGCCATCAAAATATATGTAATAATTGTATGGCTAATTAATGGCCAAAAAATCAAAAATACCAATATATTAAATTGAATGTTAAAAATGTACAGTTACCTATTAATGATGGTCCAATGAGTCTCAGTTCTACTGTTTTAAATCCTTTTTCACCTGTACCTACAAATGCTATTACCAAACCCAAAGCTATTGTCCCAAGACCCACATAGAGAAATGTATTGGCAAATGTGCTAGGACCTCGTAATACACCCAAGAGATCTTCATCGTCAGAAGAGCCGCCTAGTGATGAATCTTGAACCTGTAAAAAAATTTGTTTATAATTATTATTTCCACGCTACTTTTACCACCGCAAACCGCGCGCGGGGCGGTGTACCATTGCCTTGCGTACTATTGGTTTCGGCATTACTTTACTTTTTTTTATGCATTACTTTTATAAAGTTATGTAAAATTATTTAAAAGTTATCTGTTCAAATGTTACATGTTTTTAGTATAGCCGCTTTTTGACTTTGTGCTGGTAATTTTTATACTCTCGCAACCTGTTGCTACAGAGTATAATAGTTTTGTTCACCTAACGGTTGTTTGTATCACCTAAAATTAATCGAGTTAGATATAGGGTTATATATATATAAATGATCAGGATGAAGAGACGAGTTGAAATCCGGGTGACTGTCTGTCCGTCCGTCCGTCTGTCCGTCCGTCCGTCCGTGCAAGCTCTACCTTGAGTAAAAATTGAGATATCTTTATGAAACTTGGTAGACATGTTTCATGGTACCGTGAGACGGTTGGTATTGCAGATGGGCGTAATCGGACCACTGCCACGCCCACAAAACGCCATTAATCAAAAACAAATAACTTGCCATAACTAAGCTCCGCAATAAGATACAAGACTGTTATTTGGTACACAGGATCACATTAGGGAGGGGCATCTGCAGTTAAAAGTTTTTTTTAAAAAGTGGGCGTGGTCCCGCCTCTAATAGGTTTAATGTGCATATCTCCTAAACCGCTAATGCTATGATAACAAAATTCACTGGAAGCAAATGTTTTTAGCACTTCTAGTGACGATGTGAAAATAGTTGAAATCGGGTGGCAACTCCGCCCACTCCCCATATAACGGTACTGTTAAAAACTACTAAAAGCGCGATAAATCAAGCACTAAACACGCCAGAGACATTAAATTTTATCTCTGAGATGGTATAAATTGGCTTTATAGAAACCGCGTTCATAATTAGACAGTGGGCGTGGCACAGCCCACTTTTAGGTGAAAACCCATATCTTGAAATCTGCTCAACCGATTTCAACCAAAATCGGTGCATAAGGTTCTTTTCATGTTTCTATGCCATAGTGCGAAAATGGGCGAAATCGGACTACAACCACGCTTACTTCCCATGTAACACCATTTTCAATTTCATCTGATTCTTTCACTTTTCACTATGCAAATCAGGTAAAAATGATTATATCGGGGTAAAACTTTGCGTGAATAATGCAATTAAAGTATGCCACCTTGCGGCCAAAAATTGTCTAAATCGAACCAAAACTGTTCAAACCCCTAAGTACTAAATATGTGGACCCCAGTGCCTATAGTTGACCTTCTACCGAAAATATCAGTCAATCCACAAAGAATTCTCAAACGAGTATACTATTTGACTGTGCGAGAGTATAAAATGTTCGGTTACATCCGAACTTAGCCCTTCCTTACTTGTTTTTCTCTTATTTTCATAATTTTAAGGTTTTTAATGAATGTTTTATGTAGTATACTTGTTGCATGTGGTATTATTTTAATTTTTTTCTGGTTCCAATTATTTTTAATTTCTTGGGTGAGTCGGTATATATTTATATTCTTTTTACGTATTAGCTGCGTATATTATTATCAACAGGTACGCTTATTTCAATTAGTTGTGTATTTTGTATTCTCTTGCACAGATTATAATAGTTTTGTTCACCTAACGGTTGCTTGTATCCCCTAAAAATAATCGAGTTAGATATAAGGTTATGTATATACCTATAAATGATCGGGATGATGAGACGAATAGAAATCGAGTTACCGTCTGTCTGTCCGTCCGCCCGCGCAAACGATAACTTGAGTATAAATTAAGATATCTTAATGAAACTTGGTACACATGTTTTGTGGCAAAAACGTGAGGACGAGTCCGCCTGAGCATACTATTTGCAACACCATCACCCATCTTGAGACCCAACATTCATTATTGGGTAATATTCGACAGAATAGACCACGTCCTGCACGCAGTGAAGAAAATATAGCGGCCGGTCGATTGGCCACCAATATCGTGTGATATCACACCGTTAGACTTTTTGATGTGGGGATATGTAGATTCAGGTCTTGGGGCAGAACATCACACGTGTCATTCGCCAGTTACCAGTCGAAATGCTCGTATGTGTCATCGAAATTCCGGATTCAACGGATGGACCAATTGAGACGTAGCCGCATCCAACATTTAAAAGAGATAATCTTCAAGAAATAAAAGCCAAAGAATGTTCTTTCGAATGATAATAAACATTCCTATTAAATTTGTACGGCATTTAAGTAGGGAACCTCGAAATTGATTACACTTTATATATCTGACAGACGAATCAACAACATAGCCTACTTTAAACTTTTTACCGAAAATATCGATTAATCTAAGAAATATATTATTGAAATTCAGAAAAAATATGTTTCCTATAATAATGTACTCTGGGGCCAAAAATGGATAAAATCGATACTTTCCTATCCCCCACATACCTAATATAAGAATTTTGAACTTCCGGTTGACGGTTATTTTAATATTAATTCGAGGTGAAACATATAATATAATATATAAGATGATACAAAAGGGCTTCATTGGAGCCGGGGTCAAAATTGGAGCATGATGCATCTTACTTCCCAAATATCAGAATTTTTCATTCCCCAAATTCTTACATTATACAGATGGTAAATCGAGACAAAAACGTTATGGAAATAAAAGTTTTCATAAATAGTACTTCTAAGGTAAGGTCACGTCTAAAAATGGTCGAAATAATCGGACCATAAATTTTCAATTCCCCAGATATGATTTCCCGAATATGAGGACCCCGGTGCCTATACCAAATATATCGGTCAATGTCTGAGATCTATTATTGAAATTTAAAGATAATGTTTTTATGATTTTCAGATTTCCAAAAAAATATAAAATTGGGTCAGAACTACCTTTAGCTCCCATATATCCAATTAAAGAATATTAAAATTCTGGTGGATGGTTATTTTAATGTTAATTCGAGGAAAAACATACATGTTTTTAATTTTGTTTAGCGACACTTAAAAACCATTCATTAAAACCAATGATACCTTAGAGTCTGACATGCGCTGAATACATATACAAAATGTACGTACATATTTAACTCTATATCTATCGCGACTAGTCTTAGGTGATGCAAACAACCGTTAAGTGAACACAATTATTAAACTCTGTAGCAACATGTTGCGATTGTATAATAAGTATTTTCACATATATTAGACAAATTATATAAATAAAACACAAGTATGGAAGCACCGAGGAAATACCTTCAAATAATCGCAAAACTTTATTTCAAAAATTTTTGCGAAAGAATTCAATATTATTCCTGAATAAATTACAATCAAATTTGATATATTATTATCTTATATTACAGGTCATATATTCGCTTGGTTTTATTACTATATTTCGCGTCAGCGAAATTATTTTAAAATCATCGTCAAATGAGATATTTGTGATATGAATAAACTCAACCGAAGAGGCTAAATTAAGATACATATTAAGTTGATGCACAAAACGTCAACCAAAAGATCGGTATTGGTTACATTAAGGATATAGTTTGGACCAAGTTCTAGACTAATTCAATTCATGTTCTTCGCTAAATTATCTTTTTGACCAACCTAAACGGTTTTAAGTGAGGTGTAGGGCTGATTGCATTAACTTTGGACAATGCTCAGTTATACTCGAGAGCATATTTTCAATCAATTTATAAAAATAGTAGAAGCCCGACAGACATTATACTGTCCCACGTCTCAAATGTAAACTTTTTGAAATTAGCTTTAACAATTAAACCGTTTTGATGAAAATTTTTATTAGAAACTTATTACAATATCTGACGTCATTGATATACACATATTTATCACAATATGACCAATCGATAGCGTGTCAATATGTATACTAGAATGCTTTCAGAGATGTTAATATTAGAAGCTGTATTAAATGAAAACTTGAAGTCGTTTTAATTGATTGTGAAAAGGTGGAATCTATTTTATAACGGGTATTTATTATTAGAGTTAATTATCTACAAAAACTGTAGTTATCGTAATGCCATAGGATGTACAATATTTTTGGTTAATACTTGAGAGGTATAAACAAATAAATTCGATGGTTTTCCTACTCTCGCGCACGTAACATTTAATTGGCCGTGAGAAAAGCACTGATTTTCTAAATCTAATCCACAAATCGTCATTGTTTGACCTTGTGCCTTATTAGTAGTCATCGCAAATGCCAAGCAGATGGTAAATGTTTAAATAGTACCGGCGAGTCTGAAGAAATCATTGGAATACGTGGCAGAAGTACAACTTCACCTTAAAATTTTCCACTCAAAATAGTGGCTTCGAAAATCTTGAACATGATGAATAACGAAAATCATTATATATGGGAGTTGGGATAATTCGTTGATCAATTTCACATATTTTTGGCATTAAACTATAGTATATCCAATATTATACGCACAATTAATTTTGTTAATATATCTTATATATTGGCCGATATATGCGAATAAAGTCAGCCGGAAATTCGAGCATTCTATTCGGTATATGGGGGTTAAGGAAAGTATTGTCCCGATTCAACCAATTTTTTACATACAGACATACTATTATCATATTTGCGGTATAAGGTCAGCCATAGACACTGGAGTTCACATCTTTGGTATCTGGGGGCTTGAACAGTTATGGTCCGATTTTGAAAATTTTTGATCATAGGAAGGCAAACTTTAATTGCACTATTCATGCAAGGTTTTATACCGATACATTCATTGGTGTTTGATTTGCATATTGGAAAGTGAAATAATCAAATTGAATTTAAAATTGTGTTATATGGGAAGTAGGGATGGTTGTAGTCCCATATCGTCTATTTTTCCACCATAACTTTGAATATCAGGACAATGTTCAGAACCGAATTTAATTGAAATTAGTGGAGTGGATATGGAGTTTCACCTAAATGTGCCACGCTCATCGACCAATTTTGACACCGCCTCCTATTGAGTACTCTGGTACCATCCGGGTGTAAATTTGTATGTCTCTGGCGGTTATAGTTATTGATTTATCGAATGAATTTGGTTACTATAGGTTTAGCGGTTTAGGAGATATGTACATTAAACTTATAAGAGGTCAGGGCCTCGTCCAGTTTTTCAAAAATTTTTAAACCGCAGATTTCCCTTTTTAATGGAATTCGTTATACTTAACAACAGTCTTAAATTTTATTGTGGAGCTCGATTAATTGTGTTTTGTGGATGTGACAATGGTCCTATTCTGCCCATCTGCCAAGAAACATGTGTATAAAGTTTCATCAAAATAAAAATCAAACAACCGTTAGGTAAACTAAACTATTATACTTTCTAGCAGCATGTGACAAGAGTATAAAAAACTGGAAGAAGATAGTTTTTGTTAACTGTGTATCAAAAACAGGAAACTCATTCGGTTCTAAAATAGGAATTTTATATTTCTCTTTTGTAGATAAAAACAAGAATAAACGTTAACTTCGGTTGCGCCGAAGCTATAATTCCCTTCACAAATACAAAAGCCCCTTACAAGAACTTGATTCCGAACGTTCAATTTGTATGGCAGCTAAATGATATAGTGATCTGATCTGACCAATTTCTGTGGAGAATAATTTGTTGCCTTACGCAATAACTCGTGTCTAATTTCGTGAAGATACCTCGTCAAATAAAAAAATTTTCCATGCAAGCACTTTACTCAGATCGTTCAGTTAATATGGCAGCTATATGCTATAGTTATCCGATCTATACAATTTCTTCGGAGATTAGATTAATGCTTTAAATAATAATACATGCCAAATTTCGTGAAGATACCTCGTCAAATGAAAGAGTTTTCCATACAAGCACTTCATTCCTATTGTTCAGTTTGTATGGCAGCTATATGCTATAGTCATCCGATCTCAATAATTTCTTCGGAGATTACATTGTTGCCTTAACTAATAATCCGTGCCAAATTTCGTGAAGATACCTCGTCAAATGAAAGAGTTTCCCATACAAGTACTTGATTCCGATTGTATAGCAGCTATATGCTATAGTGGTCCGATATCGGCCGTTCCAACAAATGAGCAGCTTCTTTGTTAGAAAAAGACAGGTGCAATCGATAGCATAAAAACTGAGGGACTAGTTTGTATATATACAGACAGACGGACACACGGACAGACGGACAGACGGACATGGCTAAATCAACTCAGCTCATCATGCTGATCATTTATGAATATATTTTATAGGGTCTCCGACGTTTCCTTCTGGGTATTACAAACTTCGGGGCAAACTTAATATACCCTGTTCAGGATATAAATATAATATTATTTTGATAAACGTTAGCAAGAGTACGCAATAAACACTTATAACATCAGCAACAGGCATTTATAAATGGCTTGTTATTTACAAACAGTCATTAAAAGTAAAAATTACAGATTTTAACAACTTACTCGATTACGTTTCACCCAACGGCGATGGCAGGCCGCCTGTTGTTGCGCTTCTTGAACGCTGCAACGTCGCCCTCGTTCCAGCCACGCAGCACGACCTCGTGTACACTGATATATTCCATATGTAAGTATAACATTTATCAACCAAACAAAAAGAGACGGTAATATAATACAAGTGTTATATATGATTCGCTTAAAGGGCAATTAATCATGCAATAAGCATTCATATACCATACATAAGTATGTATTTAAATATTTATATGAATACATAAATATAAGCACATAATTACATGAACAAATGCAAATGAACGTATGTTTATTTTTATTTACAAAGTGAATAGTAAAACAATCACAATTATATACAATCAAAATAATTTTTTGGTCTATGGCATATGCGTCTTGATTCGTGTACAACAAAATATTACACATACATAGATATATATTTGACAATTCGTTCTTGTTTTATATGGGACTAAGATTATTCGGGCAAGAATTTTATCTTATGAAATGATTAATTTTATACTTATTTCGCAGTAAGTTGTAAAATTGTACATTGTAAAATTTTTAATTTGAAAAAGGAAAAAAATCATAAAAATTTTAAACTTCAGTTTTGTTTAAAACTAAAACGGTTAAAAAAAAAGTTTAAGAAGTGTAAAAGATATTCTTAAGAAATCGAATGGATTTTAATGCGAAGATTTTAAAAATGTTTGAAATGTCTTCTTCCATTACTTAAGCACAGTGAACTCACATGTTTGATCAATTCTTCCTATTTGGATGAAGAAAACTCACTCGGTAAGAGTCGAAAAAATCAGCACTGTGCTTATATGTAACTTAAAAATTTAAATAATATTTGTTATTCAAGTATATAAGTAAAAACACGTCAAGTGGACCCCCCATTTTCCACTTGATCATCGAATTTGAATGTGAGTATTTTTTCATAAAGTAGTCATCATAAGCAAGTAATCCCCTGCTCAGTTTTTTTAAATTTTAATTTTATTTTTTTAATTGAAAATTTATTCTACTTTTAGTTAAAAAATTAATAACTAGAAAACTATTGGTGATTTTTTAATGAAATTTTCAGGAGTTATAGTTAAAACTTTTACTTTGAAAAAATATGTATGAATTTAAATAATTTTTTTTTTTCAAATTGTTAATTAACTTTTAAGTTAAGAAATGAAAATTTTAATGACTTCTCCCTCAAAAATTAAAAAATTTTTTTTTAGTATTTTGCAATAAACATTAAAGTAACGAAATCCGCAAAAAAATTTGAGCGATCGCGATTAGATTAAGCAAAAAAAATTTTTATGACGGGCGGTAGCGCTGCCGGTATAGCGCTGCAGGTATAGCGGTTCGGCAACGCAACACTTAGAGTGTGTTGCATATTTCATTTGTATGTTGGGATGATGGTCTCACAATTTGCTTGCAGTGAATTAGCATGAATGTGGTAGAACAATATGCATAATACCTACCCGGTTAATAGTTTCAAAGAAATACTTAAGACGGGACTTCCCTAATCCAATAATATAATACTTAATTTTTTAATTAAAAATATCGTTATTTT